TAGTTGAAAATGTCACTGTATGTTTATATTTTCATTTTATATACACCATACAATTTTTAAAATAATTTGACTCTTTTTGAGCCGGTTACAGACATTGTCATTTTTCAATATTTTTACTATATTTTTTTATAAAAATCAATAGGTACAACTTTATTTGTTGGGTGAAAAAGCGTGAAAATTTAATGCAAGGCTCCTGATATATTGTTACAATATCAGTCGAAAAATATTTAAAATACATTGTCACAATTTTTTTTTATAAGTATTTAAAGTTCAAATTTTGACAATATTTATCACATTTAAAATTTAATAACAATTATGTAGTTAAAAACTTATAAAACGTTCAACTTTTATTGCTATAAGGATTGAAAATTTAAAACAAGGTTCCAAGTAAATAGGTCTTATTATATAAAATCCTTTATTCACAATAATATATCATCAAAAATACTCGATAATATCCATAGGCCGACTGACCGTTTTCGCTCAGAACCGTTTTTCTTATACAATGATATTATATCATTGAATTGAAATTTAACACCATCCATCGCACATTACAGTGACCCACTTGTAACCTACTGTACAGCAGAGCGACTTTTTTTTCTTGTAATGTTATCCTATAGGTATTTTAACACAAACTAGTAAACTCGCATATTAGATATGCGTCAATGGCCTGTCAACGAAATCTGTCATCGACCCACATAATGGTAATGAAAGGGTGAACGGGTTAAAATGCTAACTCGACGATTCGAAATGACTGTTCGCGATAATTATATAAGTGAATTACATAAATTAACTACATGAATTTACTTCCGACTTTCGAACCTCTTGTTCTCTTTGCCAGAGTTCATTATTATTATTTTTATTGACTTGCGCCGACGACCTTTGTCAATATAATGTCTATGCGATATTATTACATGTCGAAACGTTTAGAAATATTCAAAACAAAAACAAACCATTGTTGACATGACGTCACGGTGCAGAGACGGTTGCCACAGCTATTCGCGATGTTATTTATGTCTGGACCGAATTGGAAAAACGTGTCTAGTGTGTCGACGGACACGGAAAACAATATTATGAGATATGGTGATACGTCCTTTTTTTTTTTTAGATTTGTTTCGCTCGTGTTTTGCATTAAAATTCGTGTGCGTTTCCCCAGGACCGAAGAAATCGGTCTCCGAAAACGCATTCCCGGGCAGACCCGTTGACAAATCCCGAAATCGCCACCAATATAATATTATAATATATATTCCGCAGCTCTGTCTTGTCGTATATTGGAAGAAAGGGAAAAAAACTCGGCCTTATTATATTATATGGGTCTCGACTTCGTGTCCCGTCAGTGAGATGGTTCCGACTGTATTTTTTTTTCATACCGAGCAGACCTATTGTTGTGCTCATAAACCCCTCCACGGTAAACACAATAATATTATACAAAAGGCGTAAGAAACACGAGTTGTGACCGCCGACACACCAGTCCTGACACGACAGCTTTAGCACCGCCAATTGCGAAAATCGGTCGAATACCAAAATTGCTGTTTATCAGCTGCAGCAGCTCGACACGATATTATTATCAGTGTTGGGAATAGATAATTAAAAAATTATCTAAATAAGATAAGATAAATTTAACAAAATATTATCTAGATAAAAATAATGATAACATAAATGTAATTTATCTAGATAAAGATAAATACAAAAATAAATTTATCTAGATAAATTTCTAGATAAATATCATTTTTTTACACATATTTTTATTGTTTTTTAGTATTTTTGTAATATTAGATCTATATCAATATAATGACATAATATTTATAATAACGGATTTAATCTTTGAAATACAGTTCTACGAAGTTCATTTTAATTTATTTTTAAAATTTATGGGGAAATAAACCTATACCTAATTAATTTGAATATGCTCATTATGGCTAGTAGAGAACGATGTAGTGGATGTACAGTGCAAACATGTAGGTTCTCGTATTATCGTAATACCGTCGATGCCAATAATAACAAGAAATATATTCTTTTAATTTTATAAATAATTTATATTATTATAGAATTTTAGTAAAATTGGTTTTATAATTTTGTAGGGGCACTATAATATTTATTCAGATACATTTATCTAGATAAGCAAATTTTTTATCTAAGCTAAACATTAGATAAATCATAACATAATTTTATCTAGATGATTCCCAACACTGATTATTATATAATAACATGCGTAGTGGATTTTAGATTTCGCACAATATTAGATTTTTTACGAAGAGGCGTTTTTCTTTCACTTGTGTAGTGGAGAAAATTCTCCGATCTCCTAGTGCTTGGTCTCTGCAAATACAATAAATAAATGGCCGATCGTACCTATACCATAATCCGTGACGGAGTAGAGAACTTGTGTTGCCGTTAAAACGTAGGACTGGTCTTATCACTCATCGTGATACTGCGGGTAACCACCGTATCCCACACTACGGCGTTATCACTATTGCAATCAACTGTTCTATACACCTCAATTACGTTCCTCATATTGTATTTTTGTAACCAAATATAGTAAGTAGGTACCATTGTCGTCAGTTGTCCGATGTACCGTTTTCGTGAATTATCATATTATATGAGTGCGTCCCTACTCGTAGTGTCTAGGTAACCGTTCGTAACGAAAAAGGCAAAGTCAAAATACTAGCCACCAATATTATATTATAATATATTCCGCATTACTGTTTTGTTATAAATTGGAAGAAAGGGGGAAAAAAACTCAGCCTTATTATATTATTTGTCTCGACAGCGCGTTTTCGTGTCCCTTCAGTGTATTTATTTTCATATCGAGCACACGTATTGTGCTCATCAACCCCCCCCAAGTCTCGACCCCCCCAGTAAACATAATAATAATGTACAAAAAGCATAAGACACTAGTTGTGGCATCGCTTTATTACCAGTCCTGACAAAAACGGTCAAATACCAAAAGGGCTGTTTATCTGCAGCTGATCGACACGATGTTATTATATAATATCATGCGTAGTCGGTTTTAGATTTCGCGAGCCGAGCACAATATCAGATTTTTTACGAAGAGGCGTTTTTTGTTCACGTGTGTAGTGGAGGAAATTCTCCGATCTCCGAGTGCTTGGTCTCTGCAAGTACAATAAATAAATGGCCGATCGTACCCAGTACCCACCTCAATTACGTTCCTAATATTGTATTTTTGTAACCAAATATAGTAAGTAGGTACCATTGTCGTCAGTTGTCCGGTGTACCGTGTTCGTGAATTATCATATTATATGAGTACGTCCTTACTCGTCGTGTCTAGGTAACCGTTCGTAACGAAAAAGGCAAAGTCAAAATACTAGCCACCAATATTATATTATAATATATTCCGCATTACTGTTTTGTTATAAATTGGAAGAAAGGGGGAAAAAAACGCAGCCTTATTACATTATTTGTCTCGACAGCGCGTTTTCGTATAATTGATATTTTAAGTGATAACACTGATAAAAGTATAATGTCATTATTCATTAATATACATTTTCTTTATATATCTTTAATGTCTAAGCACCTATATCTAATATCTACGTACATCCCCTCATTTATAAAATATGTCTATCTTATATTAATTATTTCAATTAATTAAATTTAACTTGTACACCGGGCATCGGTGCCAGGGTGAAACTAGGGCAGGCCAATATGATAAGGCGAAAAATATTGCCACCAATGTATATACCCTGCGATACCCTGGTCCATTCATGTTTTTAAATCATCTACGAACTTCTCCTTTTTTTATAGTTTATTAGTCATAATGATATATTATAATAATTAGTATTTTTATCGCGTTCTTTGTCATAATAATATTACGATGATATTATTAATAATTATTTTATAGACATTTTTGAATTTTCGTAGTTTTTTTTGCCATCGGTAAAACCGTGTTTGAATGTGTTTTTTTTAGATTCCATACAAGTCGTTTTGACAACTAATAATTACTTTTAATCGGGCTCTGCAGAGCCCCTCGTCTAGTCTCGACCTAGTCTTATATGTGCTCAGTTCACTACACTATACGCTAAGTATATTCGTAACGTTGCAGATGGAAGCCTTAGTATATCTTTTTATTATGATGGATCGTCTTAACCTACGTTTGTTGTGGGTTTTTGAGATTGATCAAGACTCGTGTATTTCCGTGGAATCGTGTCGGAATTCTTAATACAACTTACCAGAGTTAGCGTGAACTATGCCAAAGTTTAGATCGAGACAAAAGAAGAACATCGTTCTCGAAGTACCTACCTACTGCTGTTTTGCGGTGGTTATATCGCTAAAAACAATGTAAGCGCGTTGTTCGGTCACTACTCATTATACCTATATTATTATTATCGGTTGTACTGTTATCGGTGACTCGACCGGGACACCGGATCGATTAAACTATTGTAAGTCAGTCGACATAGTATCGCGCAACCGAGTGCACGTCGTTCGACCCTCTAAGATATTTGTATTATTAATTGTAATTTCAAGACATGTTTGCGTCAGCTAAATAAATTTATACCCAAAATAAAAAAAATCAAGTCTAGTAATTATTTTCATGAGTACCTACCCAAACCACGTAACATGAAATAAAAACATGGTCCTTCGAACCGGATTATTTAGTTGATGCAAAATAACATTATATAATATCGCAGTTTAATTCATAAGAGCGTCTAGTGCTCATCGCGTAAATCGATCGTCCAGTGATTTTAAACGCGAAATCCAAAGTGCGTGTGCAATACTTCATTATAGAGAAGGACAAGGAAGAACTTCGTCAAGGAAGAACTTCGTCAAGATAGAACTTCGTCAAGGTCATCGAAGGCAGGTAAGCGAGTTGTTAATGGCACATAGTCTATAAGTTAGTGTTTCGGGGTTTATTTCCTTTTCCCGTTTACCTATTCCTAATATTGACATTATATATAAGCGTATATAAGTATAGCCAGTGGAAAGTGCGTGGTAGAATTAGACAGCGCATAGAATAGCGACGCAGTACACACTACAACATAGATAATACAATGAGTGAGCTGGCGAACCTTATCTTACGCCGGGGCCAGCTAAAAGGCCAATTAACTCGCACGGCAAATTATATCCGCGATAATAAAGGTAGTCCAGATATCGATCAAATTACGGTAAGATTGGAAAAGACCACAGAAGCATGGCATGATTTTCAACAAGTTCAGGCGCAAATTGAAGAAGAAGAAACCGAGATAACTAATGAGAGCGAGAAATACCGTAGCGAGTTCGAGGAGTTGTATTATGATAACGTAGCTAAATGCAATAAAATAATTAGAGCCGCGTCGCCAGGCGTTAATTCAAATCCGTCTAATCGGACTTCGAACGAATCCAGCAACGACGAAGCAAATGGTCATGCAAGCCTACAGCCCGTACAGTCGGCAATCAAGTTAGCTGCTATCGAGATACCAAGGTTTACAGGAGTGTATACAGAGTGGGCTGCATTCTACGATATATATATGGCGTTAATACACGAAAATAAATCGATGAGCGACATTCAAAAATTTTTTTATTTACGATCGTGTCTCAGTGGAGATGCGGAAAAGGTTATACATTGTCTGCAAACTACGGCGGAAAATTATCAAGTAGCATGGACAAGTTTAATCAGGAGGTACGACAACAAAAGGGTGTTGATCCAGGTACGCGTGAAAGCGTTATTTGATCTAGAGCCACTGAAAAAAGAGTCGGCAGTACATTTGCGTACGCTAATTGACACGGTGTCCGGTCATTTAAAAGCGCTTGAGTCGTTAGGACAAACTCCGGACAGTTGGGGCGCATTGTTATCTCATTTAATAACGTCAAAACTGGATGCAAACACGAGACGAGCATGGGAAAGCGAAGCGACCAAGATGGAAGATTTCAGAGTGCCAATACTAATAGACTTTTTAAAATCACGTTTTCGAATTTTGGAGGCGATAGAATCAAATAAAAACATGAATACGCAGGTACCAACAGACATTCCAAAGTTCAAGAAATCAGGGGACAGGTCTTCATCATTTACAACTACCACATCTTTCAGATGTTATAATTGCAATGGCTCACACTCAATTTATAAATGTACCAAATTTCTAGCACTCACAATACTAGAGAGAATAAAAAGAATTAATGACTTAAAATTATGTAACATATGCTTACGCGCACACTCCGACAAATGTAAGTCACGTAATTGTCCGAAATGCGCGCGTCCACATAATGGTTTGTTGCATTCGTCGCGCACAAACAATAACAATATGCGTACGGGTGGTGCGGGGAACAGCGGCGAATCGTCCAACACCACTCCACCTGCGGAGAACGATAGAAATGATATCGCTAATGAGGCAATGATTAATAGCGCACCCGCATCGGTAAATGCTCATGCACGTCAAAATAGTGAAGTAGGTCAGGTATTGTTATCGACGGCCGAGATTCTCGTATTCGACAGTCAATATAAACCGGTTTTGTGCCGTGCGTTACTGGATAGTGGATCGCAGCACAATTTTATGACCGAGTCATTGACCCGGCGTTTAAATTTAAACCGAATAAAGTCATCGTGTTCAATAATCGGCATTAATGATGCATCGCATACGTCAACGTACAAAGTAACAACTATTATTAAATCGCGTATATACGACTATTCATTAAATTTGGAATTTTTCGCACTTCCCAATTTAACGAGCAAGTTACCGTTGATGCCGGTCAATCTGACAGAACTGAAGGTCCCGGTGGATATAAGCTTGGCGGATCCATCTTTCCACGTGCCTAAAAAGGTAGATATCATTTTAGGCGCCGAAATATATTTTGAATTACTAACTAAAGAACAAATTCAGACAGTTTCACGGGGGCCAATTTTCCAGGGCACTCGTTTAGGTTGGGTTATCGCGGGACCCATCCCTTCGCCAACAAATCAAACCGAAAATTCAACATTTTCATTATGTACGAGCGTAATGTCCGAATTCGCAAGTATAGAAAATCAAATTGCCGAATTTTGGCGCTTAGAGGAGGTAAAGAATTGCAACGTATACACACTAGAGGAAAAAAGGTGTACACAACATTTCGAGTCAAATGTAAAGCGTGGTGAAGACGGGCGTTTTACAGTAGGTCTACCTTTTCGTGACAATGCTCCTAGATTAGGAAAATCGTATGACGTAGCCCTTCGCAGAATTTTATCATTAGAACGACGATTTCAAACCGATACCAAGCTCAAGGAAGAATATACCAAATTTATGAAAGAGTACTCCGAACTTGGACACATGGAAATTACGAAAAACACGATTCCAGATGATAAAAGTTATTATTTACCGCACCATGCAGTTCGCAACGAAAGCAGTACTAGTACCAAGCTGCGCGTGGTTTTCGATGCGTCGGCGAGAACAAGTACTAACGTAAGTCTAAATGATGTGCTTCTAAAGGGACCCACCGTACAAGAGGATTTGGTCTCTATAATGACGCGATTTCGTATACACAAATACGTATTCACAGCTGATATAAAAAAAATGTACCGGCAGATTTGGGTGTCGGAAAGCCAACGTGATTTCCAGCGCATTTTGTGGCGTGAAGACCCAAGCCAGCCACTAAATATATATCGACTAAAAACTGTTACGTATGGCATAGTCACCGCTTCATACCTGGCAACGGCCTGTTTACAAAAATTATCCGAACAAGAGTCGTCAAAATTTCCCGAAGCCTGTCAGGCCCTAAGTCGTGATTTCTATGTAGACGATTTTCTCGGCGGAGCTATGTCAAAACAGTCTGCATTAAGATTACGCGATGACCTAATAACGATTTTGAGGGGCGCTGGTCTAGAGCTGTGTAAATGGTCGAGCAACGATCCCGACTTGTTACTTGGTGTTGAAGCAGTACCAAGTGCCAACAATGACTTAGATTTGCAGTATACGGAAAATGTTACAAAAATTTTGGGACTTTATTGGAATAAAGACATTGATGCATATCAATACAAAGTGTTAATGTACAATAACAAAACGCGACCAACAAAACGCGCGATATTGTCCGAGATTGCCGCAATTTTCGATCCGCTTGGTTTAATAAGCCCTGTAATAATTTGTTTTAAAATCATAATGCAAAAAATATGGCAAACGCGGGTAGATTGGGATGCAACGTTACCAACAGAAATTGAAGGCGAGTGGCGCAAGTGCCGTGCAAATTTAATACATTTAAACACGTTAAAAATTACGCGTTCGCTCGTGGGTGATGGTGACATTGCGGATATACAATTACATGGGTTCGCGGACGCATCACTTACAGCATATGGCGCTTGTCTATATCTCCGCGTAAAAAACTATAATGGTGAGGTCATAACTAATTTAATTTGTTCGAAATCGCGTGTCGCACCATTAAAAACAATTTCATTGCCACGTCTAGAGCTATTAGCCGCCGTCCTACTAGTGCGGCTGGCGGCCAAGTACGCGACGAGTTTATCTATACCAATTGAGCACAAATATTTTTGGTCTGACTCTACCGTCGTTTTATCTTGGATATCGTCAGAATCGGCAAGATGGAAAACATTTGTTGCACACCGCATTGGCGAAATACATGAAACTACGTCGATTTCGCAGTGGCACCACGTCAGCACCAAGGATAACCCGGCAGATATAGTTTCGCGCGGCTGTTGTCCTACAAAAATCGGTGAATCAAATTTGTGGTGGAGGGGACCTATGTGGTTGCACAAAGATGTTTCTGATTGGCCGAAAGAAAATAATATCTATAGTAGAGCGGACGAAGTTTTATTAGAAGCGCGAACGGTATCTCACGTAATTACAGACAGGTATGATTTGTCGATCATAGAAAGATACTCATCTCTAACGAAACTAATACGCGTTACTGCATTTTGCCTACGATTTATTAATAATGCGTCGAAGAAAGAAAATTTAATTGGTGCGCTTCAGGCAGATGAAATCGACAAGGCTGCGAATAGTATTATAAGGTTAGTGCAAGCTAGTAATTTTGCAGGTGAGATCAAGGACTTACGTAAATCAGGCCAAGTAAGCTCAAAAAGTGCATTGTTACGCCTGCATCCGTTTTTAGATAAAAATGATTTGATCAGGGTGGGCGGTCGCCTAGGAAATGCACTTACTCTAAATGAATCGCAGCAACATCCGATAATTTTGCCTGCGAAAAATGTTTTAACCAAATTAATATTTATACACGAACATGATAGATTAATGCATGGCGGCCCACAGGCTATATTATCCGCGGTTCGTCAAAAATACTGGCCACTTAACGGACGCAGTATTGCGCGTAGCGTTGTACATCGCTGCATAAAATGTTTTAAATATAGACCTGCTGTCGTACAGCCTATCATGGGTGATCTTCCCGAGGCTCGTGTACGGCCTACACGGGCATTCAAAAAGACAGGTGTAGATTTTGCGGGTCCATTTATGATCAAGTCCAGTTTAAGGCGGAACGCTCCATTGAATAAGGCATATGCTTGCTTATTTGTTTGTTTTATTACTAAGGCGGTGCACGTAGAATTAGTAGGCGACCTGACCACTCAAGCGTTTCTTAATGCGTTGCAGCGGTTCTGTGATAGACGCGGACTGTGCACGGACATTTATTCCGATAATGCAACGAATTTCGTGGGCGCCAACCGTCAACTCCAAGAATTACAAGCACTTTTTCAATCTACTGAACATCAGGAGCGTATTCAAGACACATTATCCAAATCAAGTATTCAGTGGCATTTTATACCACCGAGGTCACCACATTTCGGCGGCCTTTGGGAAGCGGCTGTGAAGTCGCTGAAAGCTCATTTATATCGTACACTAGGCAATGCCTCACTCACCTTTGAAGAGTTGAACACTATATTAATACGTGTAGAGGCAATTTTAAATTCGCGACCTCTAACTCCTTTGTCCTCACATCCCTCTGATTTATCCGTTCTCACCCCCGGCCACTTTCTTATTGGTGACGCATTAACTTCGCTACCCGATCGTGATGAGAGAGATGTCCCGACCAATCGGTTGTCGAGATGGCGACGAGTTGTGCAGTTCACGCAACAGTTATGGGCCCGTTGGACGAGGGATTATCTAACGCAACTCCAGGAAAGGACAAAATGGATGAGCTCCGGCGGCCCTAAACTCGGAGTTGGTACGGTCGTGCTCCTGCGCGACGACAATATGCCTCCGCTCCAATGGTCCATGGGCAGGGTAGTCGAGGTCATTCAAGGTTCCAATGGGCAAGTACGGGCGGCCAAGGTGCGAACTTGCAAGGGCGAATTTTCCCGGGCAGTTCGTTATTTATGTCCCCTTCCCTTCGAGGGCAATTCACCACTCGATCAACAGTAAAAAAAAAAAAAATGGAATTATTTAATATTTATAGTAATTATATGTCATGATTTATTTTTTTTTGCGTATCCACGCCTATTACATATGTATTTTTTATTTTATGCCAGGTATAAGCTGTTAATTGTATAACAATATATATGTTAATGTGCAGGATAATGTATCTGTATAATAACTATAAGAAAATTTTGAAACTTAATGTTCCAAGGTGGGCGGCATGTTCGGTCACTACTCATTATACCTATATTATTATTATCGGTTGTACTGTTATCGGTGACTCGACCGGGACACCGGATCGATTAAACTATTGTAAGTCAGTCGACATAGTATCGCGCAACCGAGTGCACGTCGTTCGACCCTCTAAGATATTTGTATTATTAATTGTAATTTCAAGACATGTTTGCGTCAGCTAAATAAATTTATACCCAAAATAAAAAAAATCAAGTCTAGTAATTATTTTCATGAGTACCTACCCAAACCACGTAACATGAAATAAAAACACGCGTAATAACAGTTACCATTAATTATAATAATAATATTATTATCTAGTGGAAAACATTCCGAGTGTTGCGATTACGACTAAAACGATAATACTGGCAGTGCACTAAAGTATAATAATATATTATTGTTTATGTAATAACTATATTGGGTTACACAAAAAATAGCGACGACCGCATCGGTTAAGAGCGTTTTCTCTTATTTCGTTAAAAAAACATAATTTTCTTGATATTAATTGTTTCTTAATTGCCTATACTATATTATATCCTGCACACAGATATATTGTAATCATTGTATCGTGTTACGGCACTATAATAGTGTTTAAAAATGATAAATAACAAAATTATTAAAGGTTCGCGTTGTGTTTAATTTATTACCTACCATAAATATTTATTTTTTTTTTTCAATTGGCCTCACTACTTCCGTCAATTTTAGCCAAGACTTCCCAAAGTATTGACAAAATTAAAGTCAGTTAACGTTGTCCGATTTTGATACTGAAAAAAAAGACGTTTTTCTGTTGAATTAAAATATTTTTTCAGAATCAAAATCAGACAAAGTTACTAACTTTAATTTTGTCAAAACAAATGTATGTTTTTGTAAAATTCGTGTAGTGAAATTGATATGGTTATCTATAGTTATTAACATGTGCATGAGAGTACAAGAGAGGTTTCCGTCCATACCCTTATTTAATTTCCCTCCACTAATAATCATTTACAACTAACACATAGATCCCTGGCGGCTATGACAAGATAAGAAATTGCCTAAATTTTGCCCCTTAAATAATGACCGTAGCGAGGCCCCTTAACCACTTTACTAGATTGAAAATTAAAAATGTTTGATTTCACTTTCCAATAGTGTTTCTTTTTCTGATTTTCGTTTAACATATTAATAAAATAATTTTTTAATGTTGCACAGTATCGATTATTTTACAGTTTTAATCAGATGTTTAATATAATTTTTTGTTGGTTTATAATATCAATCGTAATCTAATAAAGACGAAAAAAAGTACCTAATATAACTAGTGTGTTCTGAATTTGAAATTTATTAAAAATAAAAATATCACTTTTCTTAAAATATTTCAATGAAATTATGAAAATATATTTATTTTGAACTTATTCGGTTATAGCAGATAACAAACGATTATTGATTATATACAGAAATTATCGAAAATGAATCAACCAAAGTTTATGAATTAGTTTTTTAATGGTTATAATTTAGGTATATGAATCTTATTATACTATCGGTTGAAATACCAGTTATCAATTTTGTCCATATTGACTATAATTTATTAATTATTTATAAGTATTCGATACAATACTAATCCAACATTAAGAAATATTCTCTTGGCGTAAGCTTATGATTACATACTTTATGATAAAATACACAATTTTTTTTTCACATAAACGAAATATTTTATGAAATTTTAAAACCATAATTATATTATACATACTGTAGTCTGCAGTATACCTATTACACAGATGTGAAGTCACTTGCGCTTACCCGGTAATAGGGTCTAGATTTAAAATGTCAGAAAACACACTGTCGTCAATGTCAAGTCCTCTGTAAATAACTTGAGAAGTCGTGGAGACTAGATTTTGCCATTTATTATATTGATTGAGCCTATTAAACACTAATCGTCACAAAGGCGGAAATCCATTAAAATTTCAAGAGGCGCTAAAATTACTAACAACAATGTCAGTGGGGCTTCGATTCCGTATACAGAACAAAAGTTATCTGTTATTTTTTTTTGGGGGGGAAGGGGATAATGGTGTATCTAAGGGGATAATACTATCTCCCCCCAAAGCCCAACAATTTCCAGCTATGAATCGAAGTGAATTAAACGCGATTATGTCCTCGACCATAATATTTTTGCTTGATAATTGGCAGAAAAACTTCCTAATATCGAGCTATTAATTATATATAAATATTTTTCGTAGAGTCATATTATAGGCACCTACACTAGCAAACAGCGTGGACCTTATCTTAAGAGTACGCTACCCATGCATTGGCTGTCTCCATCTTACACACTCAGGACATAGCAAATTTAAGTTCACTATAGTTCCAATAGTGTGTTGTTGGTTTTAATATTAGAGTAAATTGACCTATTATCATATTTTTAGGTAAGAATATTATCGGTGCTTAAGCTTTGGTGATTTTTCAATATTTTCGTTTTCAAGTAAGATAATACGTTAGTGTACGTTAAATATCAAAAATGAAAAACCCTCGTATCTCGCTTGAAAATTTAAATATCGAATAAAAGCCGACGCTTAAACACAGAATATGTTATTATCTAAAAATGTTATAATAGGCCAATTCGCTCTAATTTCAAAAACAATAGCATATTATTGAAACTAGTGAATGAAAATTTGGTATGTCGTAAGTGTGTAAGACGGAGCCTATAGCCTTTTTTTTCAAATTATATTATACCGTTGTTTGCAATAAAATAAAATATCGGAGTCCAATGTAGCCTTTAGCAAGTCTATTTCTTTCAGATAAAAAATTAGCCATCAAAATCCGACAATTCTATGCAAGGCCCGAGAATTATTAATGTTAAGTCATTTTTTTCAATATGTTACACATAAATATTTATCGGGCAGTAAGTAGATATAAATGCGTGTCGACTAAAATATAAAATATAATTTTCAACATTTTTAGAACTGTGGTAAATCTGAAAAACCGGCGAACCAAATAAAAATTAAAAATTGATTACATCGAAGAAACGTCAAAGTTAATTTAGAGTCATTTTTCATTTTAATATTACTGCGTGATTTTCAAGGGAACGACAGTTTCATTTGTAATATCGCGAGTCCATCTTAATATTATTTATAAAATATATTAAATACCGTTTCTGCTATCGTGAGAAAGTATGTTTATGATAATTTATTGATGGTGCGTATTTTTCGTACGATTATAATTTTATTAAAGACCCTATTTATATGCATTTAAAATTGTAAAATATATATGCAAACATGCGCTAAAAAAAGTCAAAATATGCAAGGAAAAAATTCAAAACATGCAAAATAAAATTTAAATTTAAATTTTATACCTGATTTTAATTTTGCAGTGATAATTATTTATTAATTTTATTACATTTTTCATGAACAAAAAGTGACATATTATTATAATATAATATAGTACAAAAATGTAATTTTTTGTTAAATTGTAATTTAATTTTTAGACATTGATTATTAGGGCTCGGATTTATATGTATTTATTTAACCAAAGTATGTATTTATACAACAAAAATATGTACATAAATATGTGCTAAAAAATTTATAATATGTATTATCAAAAAAAAAAAATAAATATTATTATTAATTAAAATGAAATGTAATAAAAAAAATATTTATCTAACTATCTAATTACTAATTATTATGGTTACAATTAATAATGACATGTATTTTTAAATTTTCGAATTCGAAAGATCGCCGATTATGTCGTAAAATTGATTTATATCGACTGAAAGATCTCTCAACTTCGACTGATGTTATAGGACAATATTGCATGTTGACTATGTCTGAAGGAGAAAGTTCTACATCCAATGAAGCTTCAGACGAAATACCAGTCAGAATTCGAGTTCGGCAACAACATTTTTGATTTCTTGGAAGTTTTGGCAATAATAATTAGCGGCATTCAACCAAGTGCCCCATCTAGTTACAATTGGTTGTGGAGGGAGGCTTAGATCTGGGTACATATTTTTAAATATTTCGACACGGCTGGGAGCTTTTAGAAATATCTTTTTGACTGCAGATATTAACTCATCAACTTTTATAAATTTTGATCTTATAGTTTCTGCTATTCGGTGAAATGCATGTGCTAAACACGTTAAGTGGATCATTTTTGGAAAAAAAGCATTTAATGCTTTACCGGCTTTTACCATGTATGGCGTGGCATCAGATACAAATAATAATACATTCTCGTGCATAACTATATCGGGCCATAATATACTCATAGAATTATTAAAAAAATCTTGCAACAGTTTGGTGGTTGCATTTATCTAATTGTTCACAGTTTAACAAAAAAGGCTGGGATTTACTGTCATTTAATTTTCCAATAAATAATCTTAATGAGGTCATAAATATCAAACATATATCGACAGTAGATTAGATTAAGTTTAAATTGGTATTAAATTGGTATTATTTTGTACTTTTGGAAACATGGGCAAGTCTGTATTAATAAATAATAAATCGTAAATGAACAAATTGTCGAAATATGTAGGAAAAATGGAATTATTGAAAAATATGTAAAAACATGTACTTAAGGCAAAATATGTAAAAATATGTAAAATAAAATATAGTTCATTTTATTGGAAATCCCTTGAAACGAATTTATCACTTACCTAAATTAATTTATCAAGTCACAGTAAAAATATGTATTTACATATAAATCCGAGCCCTATTGATTATATTGTAAAAAATATTTTATTAAAATTAAATAGCAGATACATTGGTGATATACTGATATAAATAGGAACAAGTACTATTTAAATAGTACTATTTAACTAT